CAGAGCAAATATGATGAAAATGTTGGAAACACGAGTTCCCTGATTTCCTGGATTATTTTCCATCAATAAATATATCAAAGCCTGGCTTCAGTCTGATGTGTCTGTAAACACAAAAGGACGCTGAACTTTCTATTTAAGCTGTCATTTTATTGATAACACCTTAACACTTTTTATTGAAATTAGAGAAAAACGTGTAGCATATAAGAGAATAAACCATCTAATGTGAGGAAACAGAACTAGAGGATTTATATTGTTATACAGAAGAAATCTAAAGTGGCAATAAGACATAAAAGGAAAGTAAGAGGAGGACACTTCATGTAGTTTATGTGCAGGGCTGCACAAACAGTCTCTGTTCAATTTCTGATGAACTGCAGATGTCTCTGACTGGACTTTCTGTTTGATTATGTTTGTTCCTTTATTTGTTTTTACTTTGACTACAAGTGGCAGATGGCTGCCCACTCCCTGAACTTGGTTCTGCTGGAGGCTTCTTCCTGCTAAAAGGGAGTTTTTCCTTCCCACTGTTGCCAAAGCCCAAAATCATAGAGAGTCATACGACTGTTGGGATTTTCTCTGTTTTCTTGGTATTATTGTAGGGTCTTTCCCTTACAATATAAAACTTCTTAAGGCAAATGTTGTTCTGATTTAGCATCATATAAATAAAAGTTAATAGAATTACAGGCTTAGTTAACAGGAAGGAAGAATATCCTGCTTTACCAAAGTTAGACATTTGGTGTTTCTAATATAACAATAGACATACAGATGTTGTTGGTCAGACTGTGACCCTGAAGACATGACTCACATCTGCACTCACAGAGACACTTTCACTGAGACACGTTTAATATTTGAAAAGCAGGAGATGCCAAAACAGTCTAAGGGAGTTTTCATCATAGTTCAGTGAGATCTCAGTAATTTTCTGTTTTTTGGTTTATTTTTAATTTTTGTGTAAATGGGTATCATATTCTATCAACCTGTCCTTCAGAGTGTGGGAGAAGATGAAGGAGAAGGTCCACTTCAGTCCTGTCATTCTGGACCCAAACACTGCAAACTGTTGTCTCTATCTGTCTGATGATCTGACCAGTGTGAGACTTGGATTTAAAAAACAGCAGATTTCTGACAATCCACAGAAAAACATTAAGTATCCCGACGTTTTTGGCTCTGAGGGCTTCAGCTCAGGGAAACACAGCTGGGAGACCATCCTGAGTGGAGTGTGGGTTTAATAAAAGTGTCAGCTGACAAGAATGAATCATTCATTTCACCAGAAACTGGAACCTGGTTGTAGCAATGGGAATTGCATTTACCCATGTGTTCCGCCCGGAGTCTTGAGAGTGTAACACCGGAAGGTGAAAAGTAGAGACTCGTGACTGCTTGTTAAGAGTTTAATAAAAGTTTACCTCGGAGGAGGGAAAGTTCAACCGAGCATCTTGTGGAATTTATAGAGAGAACAAGATGAAACACTGGTGTTTAAATTATGAGAGTGGAAAATACACTGATGTCGTTTA